GGGGGGCCGGAATAAGCCGTCCCAAGCGATCTCGGGCGGGTCTGGGGAGGGAGGGGGGGGGGGTCACTCACAGGCGCCATGCTGTCTGTCCACTCGCCGTGGCCTGACTGGAGTCGCTTCACCGTGTCGATGTCGTCCAGGACTCGCACCAGGTCGCCGATCCCAAACGTGTTTACCTGCCAGGTTTTAAAAGAAGGGCAGCATTATGCTGAGCAGTGGGGTGGAGAGAGAGAAAAAAAAGCCCACAAACTGGTGGGGGGGGGAACGGCAACGCACACATGACATCAGCAATATGCAGAGTCATGCTAATAACCGGCGTTCCAGTCTCAGGCATGCCCCCCCCCGGCCCCCCCCAGAGGAAATGACACGGATACAATCTGTGCTCAGCTAGAGCGACCCGCGAACAGATGAACAAGTACAAATACGCATCGACAGTCCAGGAAGCTCTCACAGAATGACAGCCCTGCAAACACAGTTCGCATCAGGAACTGTCAGACACGCTCCATGTTCTTCCATGTGCTGTTATAGAACCACAACTGTGAAGGGGAATCTGCCTAAAATGAGGAAATGAACAGCAGGGGGGGGCAATGGTCAGAGATCCTGTAGACTTATTGCAGGAGCAGGGATATTTCACCTACCTTCAGCATTTAAGTGCTTGGAAATATCAGGCAAAGGTAAGGAGATGTACACATGCACATGATTTGAAAGTGGCTCATTTAAATATCTACAATTTTACAGATTGACTCCCTGGACATCCTTGTTTCCAATATCGTTAAAAAATTCTCCAAAAATGGATAAAGCCCCACTAACTCATTTACATATGCAACCAATCTTGAGTGCACCTTTCTCTGTGTCCAATTCCTACAGGAATATGTACAAGTCCATATTCATCACCAAAGCATCAACTGCTGGACAATCAAACATTTTTTCTGATGCAGCAAATGGGGAAAAAAATTTCTCAGGAAAGCTGCGCTTGAAAATGCTATGCTGCCGCCACAGCGCCCCCTGGTGGAAAGTTTAACAGCTGCTTACCTTGGTTAAGGCTCCTGGGTGGAAAGTCCAGCGGATATTATTGCTGTACTGCACTCTGACGTCCCCTCGGTCTGTGATCCTGTGCACCGTCCCTATTCTGCAGATATACTGGGAGAGGGAATGGGGGACATGTTTCAGTGGAGTCCCGCTTGGCAGTCAGCTTCACTGCCTGGGGACGGGAGCGTGCAAGACTGCAGCAGATCCCACTCGGCCTAGGAGACGCCTCAATGCCAGGTTACTGTTAGAGAGGCGTCACAAGACCCCCCGGCATGTCCACTGCTTCCCTCCTGAAGTGGTCCAGCTCCTCCACCAACTTACTAGACATGTAGTCCTTCTCTGCCATTTACAAACTTCCTTCCACTAACAAGAAATGAGTCCAGGTCTATCCAATGTTAAATAAATTCTCTTTTCACAGAGCATCTGGCTCTTTTTTACTACTTTCTGTTTGCACTTTGTGTTACTTTGTTTTTGTTTGCATGATGTCCCGTTACAGTTGCTTTGTCATGCACTGCATTGTGTTACTTTGTTTATGTTTGCATGATGTCCCTGTTACAGTTGCTTTGGTATGCACTGCATTGTGTCACTTTGTTTTTGTTTGCATGATGTCTTGTTACAGTTGCTTTGGTATGCACTGCATTGTGTTACTTTGTTTTTGTTTGCATGATGTCCTGTTACAGTTGCTTTGGTATGCACTGCATTGTGTTACTTTGTTTTTGTTAGCAATATGTTGTGTTATACTTTGTTGTTTGGGTTCCGGGGGTTGGGGTATGTTTTTGTTGCAGTTCGCTGCATTATATTTGTTTCTGCTGGCACTACATTGTGTTACACTTGTTTGTTTGCATAATGTTGTGTTACATCTGTTTCTGTTTGTACTTTGTTGTGTTATATTTCTCGGTTTATAATCTAACTAATGATCTCTACACCGACGCTACTCAGGCCCCGACACTAATGATCTCTACACCGACGCTACTCAGGCCCCGACACTAATGATCTCTACACCGACGCTACTCAGGCCCCGACACTTGGCGTCCACCTGGCCCCACCCTGGTATACGCCAGATGGGACCCGCACAAGGCGTTGCTGAAAAACGTCAGGCGCCATGTCGCCATCTTTGAACCTATCAGCAGAGTTTTACGAGTTGTGCAGCGGGTTTTACAGCACGGCACACGGGCTGGGTCGCTCTGATCCTGGCACAGGCTCGGCAGCTCTCTGGCAGGAAGTGGACGGCACGCTGCGCGGAATTCACTAGAGCTTTTCCTGGGCCTTTCATCTCAGGAAATTTGCTCCGAAATGTCCCCAACCCCCCTGTTCCTTGCATATTTGTTTACTCGCTGTCCCTTTTGGAGGAATAAGCGATAAATACCATTTGGTGTGCCTTTAAAAAGCTGCTCTTGGATGTGCTGTGCGATGGAGGAGGGGGACATGCGGAGGGCAGAGAGATAAAGGGGCATCGCCGGTACCTCGGCCATCTTGGGGTTCCAGCCTCCATGCCCCTCCTGCATCTGCCTGAGGATGTCCACCTCCAGAAGACACTTGACTTTGTCTCCCTGCTGGAATGTATGTCCATCTGCACTGTCCTGCCTCTGCAGCTCTGCGTGCTCCCCTGCGCACACACACCCACGCATGCGCACACACACGCACAGGCAAACGCACACGGCCACACACACACATGCAAACACGCACACACAGTTGAATCAACTTTGTAATCAGGCCGAAGCAATGCAAAAAAAAAATGTTAAAAACACACCACCAACCATCAAATCAAACCATGCGTACCCAGCTTTGGGAGATGATCTCTGTAGTAATAACCGCCTGCTATGTCCGACACGTACTTGAGGTCCACTTTCCCCTTGTGGCCCATCCTGTAGACGTTGGTGGTGCCGTTGGACCAAGTGACGCTAGCCACACTCCGGCCGGACTCTGTGTCCCAGCCGCGGATGTCGATTACCTTGCCGAGCTTGCCCTCCCCTCCTGGGTATGGAGAAGGGCAGGACAAGCATTTAACTTCACCAGAGGAGGGGGGGGGGGGCTTATGGAAGATCAGCAAGAAAAACAGCAGGACACAGACGTGCTTAAAGTGACGCTAAAATACCGAAATAAAGAATGATAATTAATACAGGATAGAGGTACCAGCACCAGTAGGGGAAAAAAACACAGATAGTTTGGGAGTAAAAGGAAGGGTGGCCCTTGTGTGCCCCCACGCCACCAGCTGGCTCCCCCCACATCCTCCCCGTCCTGGGGGAGGCGTGGCCAGGGTGCGGAAGGCTGGCGTCACGCTGACGGCAATCGAGTGTGTTAATGATCCACACTGTCACGTACGCGGGGCTCGCTGACCCTGCAAACAGCGGTGGCCGTCTTATATATAACCCAGGAGTCAAAGCGCACTTAATATAAACCATTCTGAAAGAAAAATGCTTAAACGTGTTACTGCATTTGGTGGCTTAGGGAGGGACGGAAGCTGAGGTGGATTTAATTAAAAAATAAATGTCTAAACAAAGCCTGAAAATTAGGACACTGGGAAGCGAAGATCTAGTGCAGCACCCTAAAGAAAATCCTACTGAAATGTAATGCTGCTCATGCTTTAGACTCTCCTGAATCCAAGCCAATTCCTCTACACCTATGCACAGACACTTCTGAAGCGTCAGAACAGCATCAGTGCCCACAGCCCTGTTCATTTGCACCGAAACACGACAGTGTCCGTTTTGCAGACGCTGGCAGGTCTGGACAGCACATCAGTCCTCCGGTGACCTTTACGCAGGGATGCCCACCTCACTGACACAGCTGGAGGGGTTCAGGCTAAGAGCCTCAAAAGCTGCACGAGCAGGACTTCGGCTGCTTCTGCCCAAATCAAAAGTACCGTACAGATGGTGCAGCTCTTAGCTCAGCCTCTGACACCGAGCAGCCTGACGTAAAGCAGGACTTGGGCTTCTCCTAAATATTTAACCTCTTACATAAGGGAAAGGGGAAAAACAAGCCCTCCAGATCCCTTCTGGAGAAGCTGCCCCCCCCCCCCACCGCAAGAGGGTCTGTTACTGCAGAGCTGCCAGGGGCTGAAACGCAGCCAAGCTGAATGAGGTCAGTTAAAAAAAAAAAAAAAAACGCACACAGTGAGGATGTGAAAACTATGAACGTCTAACAACACACACAGGTCTGCCCTACTGCACACAGCACGGACACACCTATCACCTGCTTCAGGTGCCATTCCTCTTACCCACAATGATGAGTGGCAGCTAAACTATTTCCTGTAATGACAATAAACCATGAACGGGGTTTCCCTGGTAAAGGGCAGGAGGAAGGTCCATACCGACGCACGCAGCAGAAAACAAAGAGGGCTGTGACTATGACCAATTGACCCAATGTGCAAAGCATGGACATTTTGACTCATTCAGCAAGGACAGCATGAAAATAGGGACAGAGCAACGTGACACACATCACCGGGACACACATCACCGGGACACACATCACCGGGACACACATCACCGGGAACGCAAGCGGAATGACACTGGAGTGAGCTTAGCAGCATAATCTCAATAAAAATAAAAACACACACAAGTTCTCCCCCAAGAAATCCGAGGATAATACGCTGGACATATGATGAGGATATGATGGACAATGGCAAGCGGCTGCTGGTTCCTGAGATTTTTCTTTTTGCCCTGGGAACTCAAATTGTTGCATCTCAACAACACTTCACAGAGATGACACTTAATGGTGCGAGTCAGTGTTGCAGGAGTGGAATGCGAAGTGAACACAGATGTGGGGCGGGGGGGCGGACGGTGTATAAACACATTAAATTGTCATTAGATAAATACTGCTACAGTGCAGACGAAGCCAGAGAAACATTCACCAAACGCTTCCACACAACACCTCTATGGCAGTTAGAACACTGTGCTTAGTATTATCAGAAGTGGAAATTTCAGGTCCAGAAGGTAAAAATCCAGACCGTGACTTAGTTTCAACCAACCAGCTGAGCAGTTTGCGACTCTGACTCTTTATGCTCAGCTAGTTGGTTGAAACAAAATCGCTGTCTGGATTTTTACTTTCTGGACCTGAAATCACTTATTAATCATCATTATTATCATCGCTGCTGTGCTTCCGGCCGGCCCTCCGCTCACCATCTTGGTTGCCCCAGTCCCAGTCCGGTCCTCGCACCACCTTCACTCCCTGGAATATTCCCTTCAGGATGATTCTGGAGAGGTTCTGTCGGGGTGGTAGGCTCACACTGCGGAAACAAAAAAGTTCTGGTCCTCAGCTAGAAGATGGGTCAGATATAGAGCAGATACGGCATGAATGATGAACCAAGAGCTTCCTTCCATTACCACGGCTGGAATTTCACTTTTTTCCCCCTTCACTGACAATCACCAGCTGCAATCTTCCACCCTGAACACAAGCAGTTTCTGTCTCATTTGTACAGCTACCTTTCAGCTGATCTTCCCTCCCCCACTCCACATACCTCTTGACTGCTCAACGTTTTCACCAAATTGTACAGCTTTTTTTTTCCCCCTTCATCACCCATCTCACTGTTTCCAGTGCAGCTTGGTCGACATGCATGCATTCAAAACCAGTATACTGTGCATTCCTCACAAAAATGTTCATCTAGGTACTGCACCATCACAGGAACACGCAAGGCCAACGGACCACACTGACAGGCGCGGCTCTGCGCCTCCGACTGTCAGGGGCCGTTTGCTCCGGTTCGCTGCCCCTGGCTCAGATTACATGCTTTTACGTGATATCACTCTGACACATAGCCTCTCTCACAGACTGAGCAAAGTACGCTGGTGTTCAAACACTGTCGACACCTGACATGATGAAACGGACAAGAAAACTACGCAGACAAATCAATACAGACAGATAAACGCGAGTACAGGTGGGGGGGGGGGGCATTATCCTTAAAGAAGACCTGATTTCTGCTTACTTGTTAGTATGAAACAGTCTCCTAGTCATTTGATTCGGGTGTTAGGGAAACCTGGTCTTAACAGATTAACCAAGACTGATAACTGATACAAAACCATTTTCTTGCTATAATAAAACTGGACACGATAAGATGCAAACTGATTCCTCAATTTCTTGAATTAAAATATTGTGATTTTGGACACAGAGGCGACTGAGCGACTGACAGAAAAAGCTAAATGCCAAAGAATAAAAGCTGCAGCCGCTCACACAAGCAAACCTACCTTATGATAAAGATTTGATCTGATTGCTGAGCAAAGGAGCCGCCGATTCCCATGCTTGGTCATTTCCGTGCCGGGATCCATCCAAACCTCAAGCCACAAAGCACAGGCCCCCAGGCCCCCTCACCATGATCCCTCCCCAGGACTAAAAGGAGCTTCTGCTGCATTTGGCTCGGCCTCGGCTTCTGAGGATATGAGGCGCTTCAAGCTCCAGGAAACATTAAGTTGACAGAGTGACTTCTGGGAATCCAGGCCACAGATTCTTCAAGAACTCAATTCGTTAGTGGCTTACGGTCAAAGGACTTTAAATCCTGACGCCAGCGAGACACTTCACCCAGGATCCAGACGACAGGCTGGCGCTCGTCTAAATAGACCCAGTTACCGAAATCCTTGGCTGCCCGAGCGTCGTCAGTGCACCGGGGGCATGTAAGACAGGTAGAGCCCCCCCCCGCACGCTGGATGCCTGCATAAACCCAGACGCAACAGATGTCCCCAGGAGCTTGTCATCAACTAATTCCTTCCAAGCTTCCACCTTGGCACTGGTCCTTCAGATTTGGGGATATCAACGCGTGTACTGGGTGTTCAAAATACCACTGCGGAGTCGGAGCACTAGTGAGTGTCGGGACAGACGGTGCCATAAACAGGGTGACAAGTGCCCTCTGTAATGTGGGGGGGGGGGAGGCAATGATGCAATCAAGACAACGATTAAAAATCATAAATCAGGAATGCTGAGAAAGAACGAGAACATTCTGATGGCTCATCCCGGCAGGAACCGAAAACACGACAGAGCTGTGAATATTCTCGTCAGTGTTTGATTCGCCAAACTTTAGGGAGCTAACAGAGGATGATACTTGCCTTTGAAATAGAGTGTTTACTACTGACCAAAGAGCAGAGACCGCAGCTACCAACATGCTGGAAGGCAGCAAACGAGGCCCTAAGGGGCCCCGGGCCCCAAGTGTTGAGTACACAAGACAGTGAACCTTAAAAAGGTTCCGGTTATGGAGGGGACTTCTTAAGAACTGAATGTGTGAAAGACAGGCTGAGAAAAGTGCCAAAAACTGGCGGATGCCAGGGCCTCCCGCAGCCTGGTGGGAACACCGAACGCTAACAAGCCAGCACATCCCGGGCACATCCCGGGCACATCCCGGGCACATCCCGGGCACACTCACGCCAGTCCCACGTGCTTCTTCCAGAATCGCTGCGATTTTCAGATGCTGATTTGCACCACACAGTTTCTTTACGAATTAACTGAGGTTCCACTTGCAAAAAAAGAAAAGAGCACAGCAGCATGGTTCAGTGCATGGCAGGCAGGTCCAGGACACACAAATGCTGACATGTGATCTCCGCCCACTCTGCTTTTTCCATGACAAGCTAAACGGGGGGGGCATGACAGCCGAGGCCCTAGTGAAATTCCCCTTCCACCCTCCAAGCAGAGGTGGGGTTAGCACAAAAATAAGCTTAACTAGGGTTATTTTTCTTCATGCGTACGCAGGCTGGATGACGTCTCTGAATGCAGGTGCCACTCGTTACCCAAGGCCCACTTACACATTTCAGTTATGCCATTTGATTTTTGTAGGGCAGGTGTCACAATATAACGCAGAGCGCGTGGGGGGGGGGAGGGGGGGCAGGGGTTGTCAGAATGCAGACACAGGTAATTTTAATGCCTGCATATGGAAACAGACACATTTTTTCCCCTTCACTCATAAATGCAGCTGACTTTTGGCTTCCACGAGCAACCGGATGTGACTCAGTGCCCTGACAGACAGAAAAACATGACTGTCGAGTCTCTGCTCATCCTGGCCCCCTGGGGGACCCTTACTGCCTGTGGCGAACACAGAAGGGACTCATGAAGGCCTCCCTCTTATCAGGATAACAGCAGCTGTCTGTGTGGCACGATCCCCGCTCGTCGCTTTGAAAACCCAATGGCAGACAGTGCAGCCGCATCCCTCCAGCCAAAGGCCGGCCCTGATTGTGACACTTCCTGCAGTCGCACAAATGGCCCTTTTACTCAGCATATCTGAGTGACGCTCGTTTCGGCAGGCCCAGCAGTGACACGAATCACAGAGAGCAGAGGCTGAGCGGGAGTCCGACCCCGTCAGGGCACAAGGGCACCACCTGTCCTGCCATTAAAAACCTAAAAGGACAGAAGCAAATGAAGTTCAGCCAACAGATAGTCTGGATATATAGACACCTCCTAGTAAGAAATAACAGTTTGTGTCCAAAGGAATGACTGTGAATGGGGGGGGCATGAATATCAATACAGAGCCAAAGCCTTTGTGACAGGGCCTAAGAGCTCCATGTCTGGCCTGATTAATCAGCTGGGAGGTTTGTTTAGCCTGCCCCCCCCGAAACATATGTGTCTCCATATGCCACGTGTAATGCTTCTCACTCTCACACATGCAACACACACAGATATGCATGCATGCACGCACACTCACACACAGACACTCACAAACGCAAAAGTGAGTGCAGAGCCTAACCCTAACCCTAACCCTAACACCTTCCGTGTATGTGCTCAGTGACAACCCGCAGTCCGAGGAGGTAAACCCCCAAAGCGGGAGGCTCTGGATCTCCGAGCACCTACCGATGGATCAGAACCCAAAGCAGACAAGCGGGCCAGTATCAGAGGCCGGACACACAGGAGCCATCCCGATTCCTCCGCAGTAATCTCTCCACAGCGCTGATCGCACGGCTGTTTCTCTCAGGCCTTAAATTTATACCACCAGTTAACAGGGTTAAAATGGACCTCACAGATACAGGGTAGCATAGTATTATAAAGTTATATTGGTGCTTCATGCCACCTGGTGGAAGGGCCGGTGAAAAAAACGACGTCGCCGATTCAGCAGTTTGACCCACCTGCTGCATGTCAACCCAAAACCCGATTTGATCCCCAGATCACCGGCAGAGTGTCTGTGCATCCGAGCAGCCAGGACCTAGAGATGCAAGGACCCACATCTGATCAGGCTCATTAGGAGGACGCCAAGGAGGAAAGGAGGGCAAGATTACCGCGCGGGGAAGGAGAAAGTCAGGCCCACGTGTCTCACTCTGCCGTCAGCGGCAAGAGGATTCAGCAACACTGCACACAGGCTCAGTGAAGGACCGGAGATGCTGAAGCGCGAGAGTCACCACGCTGCTGCTTTAGAACCAGCCAGCCTCCCTCGACAGCTGGCCTGCTGCTAGGAACGTGCAAGAATCAGTCGTGCTGCTAATAAGAGGCACAACTGAGTAATGCCACACGGAAGTAACTGAGGCAGCTAAGCAGAGACTCAGCGCTCTGGGGCTGGGCTGCCGCTCATCCGTCTAAAGGTGATATACGTACAATGTGCATTACAGGGTGAGCTACCCCAAGAATCACCCCTGAAGCTATGGACAGAGGTACGCCGACGACAGAACTCTACACACTGAATCGCTTTTCTTATCCTAAGTAGCACTCAGAAATTAAACGCAATCTGACTCCCTGACAGTTCCGGTTCCTGCAATTAGATTCGGCAGGGGAAACGACATAATATCGGTGATGTGGCTCATTGACGGAAGGTGACAGGTGATGCCATGGAAATGGATTATCGATGTGAAAAATCGAAAACAAAGACGCAAGGTCTTTCTCCCGGTGGCTGCTTGCGGTGCGTGATGGATCGCTGCAGCAACACGGTGTCTCCACTTAGCTGGAAACGTGACATGGACCTTCAGAGATTCAGGTGCGCAGGGGAGACTGACACAGTAATGGTTTCAGAAGCTGGTTCCTCCTACACACCCCTGGAATGTGTCACACCTCAGCGGAAACGGTCACCTTCTGCGTCAGATGGGACCGAACGGTACCCGGAAACCACAAACCATGAAAGACAGGCTTACGGGCTGCCTGGACAGCATGTTTTAGAAAGGACAGATTGCACGAGCTCTAGCGGCCTCCAGTGGCATCATCATGTGACCCCTGTACCTGCAGCAGCTTGTCAGCGAAGGGGCCACGGTGCCCGGCCACAGGCCCTCGTAGAGGCTCGCGTCTGTCTGTCCTGGCAGAAGCAGCCACAGAGCCGGGGCAGCGAGAGGCACTTGTGCCACGGCACGCGAATCTATTTTTGTGCGGCACAAACACAATCTGGCGGCACTGGGCATTCGGCTTCCAGGAACCCCACGCCGGGACTCGAGAAATCAACAGAAGGTGGCCCAGGGGGGGAGAGTTCACTGCGTTTGGGGCTTTATTACGGCCTCTTCATGTTTTTCCAGCATTATGTAATTCTCATGGCAGAGGGCTTTGGGTGTGTGATATTAAGTATGTTAGAATAAAATCCAGGCTGAAGAGAAGCTAGAATTTTTTTTAAACATTTAAGACAGGTCAAACAGGTTACAGCGACCCGTCCAATTTGCCAGCTGCTTATCTTGTTCACACCCATCTCCGAGTGTGAATTCAAAGTGAATGTTTAAAAGCACTGAAGAGCGCCACATACTGAGAGCCCAGCCCCGCGCTCCTCCAGGCCCAGGCCCAGGCCCAGGCCCAGGCCTGCGCTCCTCCAGGCCCAGGCCCAGCCCCACGCTCCTCCAGGCCCAGGCCCAGGCCCAGCCCCACGCTCCTCCAGGCCCAGGCCCAGCCCCACGCTCCTCCAGGCCCAGGCCCAGGCCCGCGCTCCTCCAGGCCCAGGCTGTGACATTATCACATTCTCTCAGAACAGGTAAACACACACAGATACAGCCATCCATCTGTCTAGGGGCAAGACTCCTCTGCTCCCCAACACTACAGCAACAGACCCTCCCCCAACAACGAACCATCCCGAAGTAACCCCCCCCCTGCCCCAGTTTCCTAAGTCACTGGGGGACAAAAGCTCTGCCAGCGCTCCACGAGATGACCCTGGCAGTGAGTGACTCCACAAACATGCTAGCACAGAGCTTGGCGTCTCCGCCCGTCCTTGGACGACTCTGGTACATTCTCCGGAGCTCTGTCATCGGCTTGTGCAGTTACAGTCACACCCGTAAGCATTTTCACTGGCTGGTTTAGGCGGCCCGACTAAACCACCATCACTGTCAATATAAACAAAACATACAGCTGTAAGAAGGAAAGCATACAACAGATAATCAACATCTCACAGACCGATGGTCTGTGCTGACGGTGGTGCGTGAGTGTATGTGGTTCACAGTGATAGCGCAGCAGTAACAACAGCAGGATGTGTTATTACGCTGCAGTACTGAGTCAGCCTCCCATGTCGCTCACTGCAAAGAGCAGCACCAATCAGAGCCATCGAGCGGCGGTAAGACCTCAGCCTCGCCGTCTTCTCATGTACCTCGGCCCAAACACTGACCACCTGTCGCTCAGCAACCTCAGGCCCGGATGTCAGGAGTTGTTAGGCATCAGCGGACCACACGCAGTGCCGCAGGTAGCCGTGGCGATGGGCACCGTCACGGCCTGGCACCCGCCAAACTGCTCCAGACAGACAGCCGGAGAAATACAGGGGTCAGAAGGGGATGAAGGGTTGGGGGCGTGGGCAGGGCTGGGTCTGACGAACGGCACGAGACTAGATGGGAGCGTGGGCGGGGTTAGGGTGAGATGGGAAGCCATGGGGCCCGCAGTCATCGAGGCTAAAGAAACAAAACGGGCACTCAGTTTTTATTTAGTTATTAGTAATATTAGTAATAACTTATAGCAATAAGGCGCAGCTGAGGTGAATGAGCGCATGTCCCTGACAGCAATGAGCGGCAGCCTGACAGACCACGGGCACAGTGTCAGCGCAGCTCGCAAATGCACGGCCCTCTCAGCATCCATCATACTCACAGCCCATCGCCGCCACACACACCACCCGGGCTCCGCAGTAATAAACGTTAGAGTGAGGCTGGCCCCCTGAAATTCTCCAGAGACCAAACTCGGCTCAGAGGATCTTAACTCCTTGACCTTTATCTCACTGTCCCCACCAGAACAAGAGTTACACAGTGCAGAGCAATTAGCTTCTTTCAGAGTTAATAGCTTGTCGCAGCTAAGCTACAGCTCAATTAGTGGGGGGGAGGGTTTCCCGACTCGTACTAAAACGACCCTATCGGGTTTAGGAGAGCAATTTGACATTTTGCGAATGCTCTTTGCGGAATGCTGACTGGGATTGGAAAATCACCATGGTAACCTTTGTCCCGCACATTAATTGGGGTACGAGCTCCTTATAAAGCCCGAAGCCTTTTGTCCGCGATGAGGCCACTTGGCTCTGCTTTGCACCCCCACGTGGCCTGGGGGGGGGGAGGTTTATTATGCTTTATTATGCAGGGGCAGGTTTCTTAGTTGCTCATCAACTAGCAATTAATTTACATGAGAATTTACACTGGAATGAGCCAACATCCAAATATCAGTTGGTAACGCTTCACATTAACCGCACCTTCATAAGTCATTCATAGAACATTCATAAGCAGTACAAGCAGAACATTCATAAGTACACCTTAACATCCTAACCTGCCTTAACATCTTTAGTATACCTCGATAACTAACATTATACAATTATACAAGTGTAATGTTTATTATCATATAATGTTTGCTGTTAATGTATATTAAATGATCTTTTTATGGTTTGTTAGGATGTTAAGGTATACTTACATGCTGCTTATGAATGTTCTATGAAAGCATTATGAAGGTGCAGTTACTGTAAAGTGTTACCTAACAATTGGATATCACACAATCCGGAAACCAACCAATCACAGAGGCCTCGATGACAAAGCTGAAAGAATCAGTCAAGGAAACCCACCCCCCCGTGACGTGTGTCTTATGACCCGGCACACAGAAAACCTCTGCGGTTCATCTCCAGTCTGAATCTATCTTTATCCCGCCCCCCCCCCCCATCCTGCACCAGGCTTATTTGTGAGTAATTGGGATATGAATTATTTATAGCTGGCATGCTAACCTGCCCATGTGCATCCACAGTGACAGCAGCCCCCCCCCCCATCCCCGGGAGCGCCGAACGCCCCTGTGCTCCCATTTAATGAAGGACAGGGCTGACCCAATCAGCCGGCCGGCTTAAGAAACCTTCTTCTCGGTTAAGTGAAAAAGTAGGAGGTACTGAAGTGAGGGTTGTGGGCAATGTTCCTGCACACGCTTCCCTGGCGACGCGACGGACGGTATCCACGGAGACGGCTCCCCATGCTAATTAGGTAACAGAGAGAGAGAGCAGCGTCGATACTGCTGATGTTAGCTGCTGCGCAAAGCAGGGCACTTTCCTGCCCACTGCAGCCTCGGAGGTCACTGTGGACAAGAGCGCTCACTCAGTGAGGGGGGGGTCACAGCACCGTCACGCATACCCAGGGAGATAAAGACACAGATTTAGGGGGTTCGTACCAATCTAAAGATGTCCTGCGATTCTCACTGCCAGCACTTCCTTGGTCAATCCTCCCCAGACAGACAGAAGTTGGTTTAGCCCAAAACAGCAACTTAACAGGTTACAGTTTCGCAGCTTTTGCTACAGCAGTGGCACTGTTTTACAGCAGCAGTGCTGAGAGAGTGTAGTACTGCAGGCGAGCGAAAAAGCGGCTGCTTACGGTTGGGAGTGCGCAGTCTCGTAGCGCTCGAAGGCGTGGCTCAGGTCGTGCTTGTTGTTCATGTAGCACTGCGTGCACAGGTCGTAGTCGAAGCACACCTTGCACTTCCAGCGCATGCCCATGATGCCGTGCTTCTTGCAGCTGTCGCAGATGATGTTGGAGTGGCGCACCCCTGCGGTGCGAGACGGGGAAATCGGTTAGGAGGTGGGGTCAGGAATCACGCAGCAAGGACCAAACAAGGAGAGGAAGGAGCGGCATTCAAGCAGGAAAAGCAAGGGGAGAATTTACCATCGTTTGCCATGTGACTGAACTTGGCTGTATTACAGGAGGAGACGCATCAGTGACATTCAAAGCTGCGCTGGAGGTCTATCCCTTTAACGACCAGGCCTGCGTGACGAGACGTCTGCGTTTCACCTTTGCGGGATTCAGGGCCGTGCGAACAAATCAGCAAACGAATGTTTACGAGATGGAGCTGGAGAAGGTGTCTGCCATGTGACCTCTACAGTCTGCGGAGCCGAGCCCAAAAAGGCGACGAGCGCGAGCGCGAGCTGAGACTGTGCGCGAATACGCGGTAACCGGGGCGGCGAGCCACCTGTCAGGAACAGGACCCCCCCGCTAGGACGAGCTCACGCGCACGGAAAGGCATCCCCATTAGGCAGGAAGTGAACATGTAAACGGTGCGGCTGCGGCTACCGGCTGAGGTGCATGGGGAAGGGGGGGCGGGGCGGCATAGCTACAGAATCTCCGACAATCTACACCTGCGGATGCGTGTGAGGCCCACTGGCCACCAGCAGTAGCTCATTAATTATGAATAGCGAGGAGTGATACTCTATGTCAGAACAGCGAGGACGCACCCCGCACAGCCGGAGTGATCGATTTTTAGGGGGTGACACGCCGGCTCCGATCTCCCACTGTCTCCTGCTGGATCACATCTGAACCCGGCCTGAACTCCAGACTGTAAGCGGCTCTCCTTCTCCCCGGCGGTCCGGGAGCATGTGACTCTCTGCCGCAGGCAAAGCCGCTCCAAATCACAGCCCCAACCGGATGAACCATTATATAAAAATGGATGTTTGATTACTAGGCAATGTTTATAGCATGAACGTGGCTCAAGCCAAAGCCATCTTCAGTTGCAGGCCGAGGTGGTTTCCCAGTGAGCTCCTGTTATTATCCACTGATTACTCAGACCTTTTACTGGACACGATGCCCTTCTGAAAGGTGTTCAACACCCCGTCTTCCATTCAGCCTGGGCAAGACGCAGCGCCCCCATGTGAGCAGTAGGTGCATTACACACAACACAGTATCTTCTGATAGCCCGAGTTCATTACCTAGGGCAGGGCTAGAGATTATGGTGGCTTATGGCCTAGTGTGAGGATCAGTGAAGAGCAAGGCCTTTGGGGGGGGGGGGGGTTAGGCGGGCAGTGGGGATGTGCAGAGACTGAAGGAAGTCTTCAGAAAACCAGATCGATACCGAAAGAAGCTGGAGAAAGTAACTCCACTGCAGCGAGAGATTCGGCCGATCAGACTGTGCAGAGAAGCTGCCGGGGGCCGGGGGCCGGGTCTCTCCCACACAAAAATAACGTTTGCTGAGTGTCGATACGAGGTATCTAATCAGCTCGAACGTCACCGTCACGTGTGAAGGACGCAGTCCGCAGAAGGCCCACATCAACCAGCGCTGAATCCAGACCAGTCAGACAGTTTGTATTAATACAGATAAGCCCCGAAATGAAGGAAACAGCTGAGTAAATGAGAGGCATGGAAGCCTGAGGAAAGACATCATCATCTAGGAGTCCCTGTGAACAAGGATGGCTGACAGACAGCTCTGAGTCAGCATGCTTCAAATGTCAGTCTAGTTAGTGAAGGGGTCAAGTGCGTGGTGCCATTTTTAATACTTTTCACATAAGAAAAAGGCTTAGATCCCATTCAGTTGTCTGCAGAGCAGTGGGAGACATCGAAGTGGCCGATGAGTCACCCATCACCCGGCTCCCAGGCTCGTGTGGAACTCGCCAGAAGACACCGACAGGACAGGACGCTCCTTTCTCCTTGTGAAGGGTCCAGGCAGATCTGGGAGCGTTTGGAGCACGTTTTCCTGGCATGGGATCGGTCTCGTCTTGTTGGGCAGGGTAAAGGCTCATGTACACAAAGCAGAGCGGCTGGAGCACAGCGCCACACTCACCGATCTGGGCGTTGTCGTAGAGCAGTAGGTCGTAGGCTCCCTGGTAGCCGGTACGGTAGTTGGTGCGCGTGCCGCTGTCCCACTGCACAACCACGGTCTTATCGGGCGTGGTGGTGCTGCCCTGCCGGCCCACCTCCACCACCGTGCCCACGTGGCCCTCACTGTCGTCCTGGTTGCCCCACTTCCAGTCCACGCCTCGCACCACTCGCATTCCCACCTCCATGCCGGCGTGCTGTGGGGAGCCTGCAGGCTCGGCACCGCGACTCCTGGGCCTCGGGGGGGGCGCGCGGGCGTGGCCCAGGCCGGGCCGGGCCGGGGCTGCGGGGAGCGAAGTTTCTGAAGACAGCTCTGAGGAAACTGCAAGAGGAAAGACAGGCATTTACACATCACTGGGTCATCATGCACCAGCGCATCCCAATTCATCTTTAGCAAGCCAGAGCTGCACATATAGGGAAATGAAGGGAGACACATTTGACCCGGAGAGGACGATGGAACGAGATGCGGCAGGCTGGGAGGGGGCAAAGCAACGCTCAAAGACAGCTGCTTCAGCTGGAGAAAAAAAACGGAAAAAAAACCCGGGTAAAACAGCCAGAGACAAAACAAAGCCGCCAAACCTCTAGCTTTTCACAGGAAAACAAAGGACTGCTTCGTATCATTATGGGAGAGTCATTAATCAGCACCGCACGGAGGGGCACGCCCCCCTCCAACTGGACCCTCCCCTGGAACAATCAGACCCCTCCGCCATTTCACCATGAAAAAACAAGCTGGAGCCCAACAGAATCTCATCCTCAATCACGTCCTATCAAAAGTCACGGGGCAGACGGTTCCGTGCCAAGATCTGAGAAGACGACTCATTCTGGTTTGTGCTGTGCTGCCCTCAATCTCCGCAAGCCAAGGGGGCATCTTGGCCTGGTTCTAATTCAGCAGTTTCAGAACTTCCCAAATTCTGTCAAATTTTCGTGATGTTTAAAATCTTTATAAAAACATTCTCCGGCGTGCCCCGTTCCATTTGTTGTGACAAGGAACAAAGCAGTAAGCTGTTAACCCCAGAGATTTCTGCTCCGCTAGAACTCCTGCATGTGCTCCCACACACACATATACACACACACACACACACACACGCAGAACCAGACCAGCTGTAACAGCATTCCCCAGAAGATCATGACGAGTCTGACCCTGACCTGCAGGACTCCTGGGGTCAGTGCTATCTTTAGAAGCAGGGACGGCCACCTCTGCCGCGAACGACGCGCCGCAGCTCTCTGAGGCCCCTCACAGCATTCCCCCTGGAGCACACACCCCTCCACGGCTATTCAAAGCCACAAACTTTGGTCTTGTCCCCTGAAGGTGACAGTCACACTCACCCTATAAAGACAGAGGCATGTGGGTGTCTGTTTGTGTGGGTTATGTATTGTGAAAACCGAAAAAATGGTCCCCACAAGGGAAAACTTAATTTTACAAAAAACCATGACTGCAGTCAAAAAATGCCAAAGGCCTTGTATTTTGTTTGGTTACTTATGGTTCAGGTTAGGGCTGGGTAGGGGTTAAGTTTGTCATTGCTGGGATGTGTGTCCCTGTGGCAGTCATCCACATCCTGTATGTTCATCACTGGGGGCAGGACTCCAATTAATCAGAAGTTAAGGGTAAATGAGCCTGGGTCAGCGACCTTTCGACCTTCTGCTTTAGCCCCTCCCCCAGAACGTTATTGCTTGGTGCAGCAGGTCCCTTAATTACTGCCTCTCACACCCGCCACCCTCCAATCAAATTGGCTCTCTGGCTGTGCAGTCATGTCGCCTGAACACGCAAGCACCTCGCCTGAACACGCAGCACCTCGCCTGAACACGCAAGCACGTCGCCTGAACACGCAGCACCTCGCCTGAACACGCAGCACCTCGCCTGAACACGCAGCACCTCGCCTGAACACGCAGCACCTCGCCTGAACACGCAGCGCTGCCCAGGAAGGGCACAGGCTGTGGGGATAGCTACTGGGGAAGTAACATGCCACAAATCAGTCACCTAGATGCCACCCCCACGGAAAGGCCCAGAGTGGAGCAAGTGGGGAAACCTCACGTTTCCATAGTGACTGGCCCGGCACCCACATGGGGGCTTTTCCTCAGACCAATTAAAACAGAGTTTGCAAAAAAAAGACAAACAGAGGACATAACCTTACAGACAGCTTCAGGACAGAGGATTCCTGCCGTCTTCAGAGTCACCAGCAGGGCAAATTCCAGATGAAAACTCCTGCTTATCGCTGACCTGCCTATGCCAGTACCTTTCCAGTTATGCCAGTTCCTTCAAAGAGTCCGTAAGCTTACAATTTCCCAAACCACTTAGCAAAAATATGCAGATACTGAAGGCCAGACTATTCAGCCACTGCCCACTCATACGACTGCAGTTTCTCTTTCGAGTTCTCTGAGGGCAGCATAAATGTTTCCATATGTCAAACGTAAACATTTTTAGAATGTTATTTAAAGTAGGAAGTGCAAAAAAAGAATTCTGCATAAAATTTCAGATTTCATTATCAGTGAGTACGGAATATTCTGGTAAACTCAGCCGTTTATCAACACCACGCAACATATAGTTACCGTGACGCCCCACAAACAGGTAATTCCACTAAATAAACAGCTTGTACATTTTCCCCCCCAGCACTCTATCACATGTTGCCACATTACCTGGCCAGCGATGAAGTGACATCCCATCCAGGGTGTCCCCTGCCTTCAATTCTGGAAGATGGATGGATGGAGGGATAGATGGATGGATGGTGCATTAGCTGCACCGTTTCCTAGCACTCTTTCAGAAGTTAAAGCTGTAACCCATTTATCTGGCCTCTGAATCAAACACTAGTGTTGTAGTCAAGACCGCCTAAACCGAGACCAAGACATTGCCGAGACCGGAGGGTATCAAGACCAAGACACTGTCGAGACTTGAGGGTACCAAGACCAAGACCAAGTCCAAGACCAAGACACACTAAGGCGAGACCAAGACCAAGACTGGTCGAGACCAAGACCAAGACCAAGACCAAGACCAAGACACACTAAGGCG